ATCAGACCCGCGGACTCGCACGTCGACGTCGATTCGTTCGACGTTACCCCGATGCAAGATCCTACTTCTCTTGATTTGTCAATTCAATTTTAGATCTGTGAATTAATTATATGCATGTTTAGACTATAATATGATTATGCTGTAGCATGACTATTTTGATATTCCACCACGTCAGCGTCGATTCGTTCGACGTTACCCCGATGCAAGATCCTACTTCTCTTGATTTGTCAATTCAATTTTAGATCTGTGAATTAATTATATGCATGTTTAGACTATAATATGATTATGCTGTAGCATGACTATTTTGATATTCCACGTAGGTTGTTGATGGGATTTTATTAAAAAAGAAAAGAATAAAATATTTGTAAAGAATTATTTTAGAATTAATTATAATGAGAAAATAGTTTAAAAGAAACTATTTTATAAAAGGACTTTTAAATAAATATACTTATGAGTTTACAATATTAGAAATAATTTAAAAGAAATTATTTTGTAAAGGATTATTTCGGAATTAATAAATTAATTATTGTTAAAGGTTAATTTAGATTTTAATAAATTATGTCGGATCTATTTCCACGGCCTTTCTATATTGAAGCCCAAAACAGGGGTACAACTCGGCCCATTCCAAATCATATCCACGATCCTTGATCAAGATTAGATGCTTTCATATTTTTATTTATAAATTCATCTATCGATCTCAAAAAGTTCCCCCAATTTTAGATCCATCTCGATCTCAGAATTCAGTCAGCAAAACCCTAACAGATTTAATCCGTTCTCCGATCCTCAGTCATGGCGACGGCCGTGAAGCTCAACCTGCTGCTCTTGCTCTTAAACTAAAAGGTTCGCTGGATCTGATGTTCTTTGTTCTTGACCTCTCGTTGAATTAAACGCAGGCGGAAAACATTGGATCAGTCGTTTTCTTTGATGGCGCGAACCAGAGGTTTATTCGTAGCAATTCCATGGCGATCGATGAGGAGGTAAGTCATAAGCTTCTGTTTCTCTATATTCTAAGTATATGATCATCAAGTTTGATTCTTGCCATAAAATCAGGATAGTGGCCTTTTAGGTCATGGTGGCTTTCAACTTTGTGTTTGGTGCAAACTGAGTAGATTGATGAGATTGCCGTAGAATTTGATAGTCAAAAGTCTTTTATGTTGAAAATCGAAGGCTTAGCTATGTTCCAGTATAAAATATACACGAAAACGTGATTTAAAATGTGCCCTTTCCATGCCCTTAATATTGTCATGGCTCGGGTCTTGGTGGGTGGGCTGTAGGCTGTCTCAAAGTTGGGATTTGTCTCAAGGCTACGAATGAACTCTCAGATCAAAGTCTTCTGCTGGGAGTTGGTTGTAGATATGCTCTCCTGATGCACGTGCGCTGTTCTTTCATGTGCACCTTGTTCGAATTCAAGGGGGGAAAAGCTTGCATAACATTTATGTTCATAGAGACATCTAGATGATTTTATGCTAAACTACTTGATACGTTTTCTGTTTACATCCGTTACTCATCAGCCATCATGGATATTCATCATAGTCATCTTCTATGTCAGAAAATTGCATGAGCGTTTTTTTTATTACAACTTTCTTATTTTGGAATTGGGATGCCGGATTAACTAAATCATAGAGCTCCTTGTTCTGACTAGGACAAATCATTATCAGCAAATGAAGTTGCTGCAACCGTATCGGTCTTACTTGGTTCTGCTCCGGTCTCGCTTTCATCCGATTCATCATTCAAGGTCATGCATTGGTACCTCTCTTTGGAAGGTCTGATACTTAAGTTAAAATCTGACCTTCTAGTGTGTTCTGTTCACAGTTAAATCAAGTTCTGTACCCTAGTCTATTTGACAGGCCTCATGCTGTTTTGCTGCTGGAAGTCACGGGAATTAAAGGTCAGTGTATTCAACTGACGTTCTATAGAATTTCTGTTTTCTTCTCTTTCTTCATTTGGAATTTTAATCTCATGTTATTTCTCATACAGATCCTCGATTACCTTTCGCCTACTCAAATGACCAATTGGGTAGTGCTTTTAGTAGCAACATTGTGGGCTCAAGTAAAGCTGACATAGAACTATCAGGTATCCTGATTTCCGCACAACACTCCGGACCAGATATGCATTTCATCAACTTATTTTTTTTAATTGTTGCAACAAGTTGATTTTGGCTATAAAACTATATTCCTTTTGTAGATGGGAATGAAGTTTCTCGCTTGGATGATCCATCAAGTATTGAATGTGATGGTGCTTGTATTATTCAAGAACTTGAATATCTTGTAAGAATTGCTGTTTATAATTCTTTCAGCTACGAGAAAGTTCACCTTTTAAGAGCTTGGAAGTGAAATGCTGATTTAACTTTTTGCAGGGAGGAAGATATGTCAGCACATCAGAGGCTGTTGATGGAGAGCTGAGCTTCTCTTTACCCTCTAATGTACTTTCTTTCTGTTGAGATGATTTTTGAAGTTTTAAAATTTAAACCATGTAACATGTAGTTTTTGTTTTCCTAATGGAAAATTGAATATCTTCTGCAGAAATCAGACAGAATTTTTGCATTAAGTCTAGTTTCCTTTACCAGAAATATTAGAAAGTTAATGGAGAATGGTGAAGGTTTTGCAGAAAGCATCACGATCCCTGCGGAGCTATTGATGGGCCGTTTCACAGGCATTGAGGTGAATTTCATCTTCCCTCTCATAACTTTTCACTTGTAGCCTGAAAACCTATTAATTGAAATCATTGCCGAGTATAAGTTGAACCTTGGTGCATCCTTGTTATATGATAATGGGGAATTGGGGACTGACTTAGCCTACGCATACATTTGATGCACATTATAATTCTACTAAGAGTCTAGTATATCGTGCAACTTAGTGTCTCTCTTTCTTCATAGACTAACCTCTGACTGTTATCGTTTCACAACTCGACTGTCATGCAAAAAGTTAGCCGTGTATTTGGTTGCTATCCATGCTTTTTGCAGCTGGGCAAGCATTTTATTTTTTGGCTCTGTTTTTTTTGTCTTCATGTTTTTGTGCATGCAAACTGCACAGAAGATCTAAACTCGGGTTCTTGTTCGAGTGATTTTTTTAATTTAATTTTTTGTCCAACTCGTTAAAATCTATATAATGTTAAAAAAATTAAATTCAAATATGATAATATAGTTTAAGCTTCAAGTAGCTTATTAAATCAATAGCTTCATGTACTTTCACATATAATTTCTACAACCAAAAGATGTTCACACCTTAAAATTGACACTATATTGCAGGCCTTGGAGGAGGAATATGGTTCTGGAGACATTGTTCGTCAAGGAATAGAGCTCCTTCAGACAGCATTTACCAAGTCTTACAACTTACTGCACAAGTTATATGGAGGTCAGTGGTTGTCTTTTTTTTTGATGTTTTGCTTCTAGCCAGTTATTATCGCTTCAGCACCATAATAGTAGCATTTAAGCAGAACACAACAAAGCAACAAAAGTCCAGAAGCACTTATCCTCTTTGACTATTTAAAAATATATATAATCAGAGTTGATAACGGTTCTTCTATTTTTTGGGGACACTGAAATCATGAAGTTGCACATGTGTCGGACATGTTACAAATTTCAAAAACTGTCTTCTCTTGGACACTGAAATGACACATATTTCAAAAGCCATCACCTCTTTCACTAATAAAATCTTTGGAATATGTTCATCTCCTAGCGTTCACATCCAAATTCTTTTCCTCTGAATTTATGGCTAAGACTTGGTGGAGAATTTTGTTATTACATAAAAGAATATTGAAGTAGAACCTGATTCAATGAAGTTTACAAATATTACCCATTTCGCTTTCTTTAACATACCTCTCCTGTGTACGTATATTTATTAGCATATGTTGCCATACTTGTAGCCCTTGATGGTGAAGGTAATAGCGTGCTATGAAGCACGGACACCGTGTCGTGTCGTGTCCGTGTCGGACACACGTGTCGAACACACGTATCCTATGTATTTTTTAGGATTTGCCTCGTGTCGGCGTGTCGGATGGCCGTGTCGGATCCGTGTCCGTGCTACATAGATAGCAGGTATTGTTTGCAATTGATTCAGGGTTATATAATGTGATACTTGCTTTGGGCACTGCAAATCTGGTGCCCGATCTGCTGCATTAGTTATGAAGAGCTCTGTTCAACATCAAATTCATGTCTGTCACATAATATAATATTCTGATAATTCTTTTATAACCATAAATAACAACATATACCCAGTATGATTTGGGTTTTCATTGATTGTCTTCCCTTGTATATGGTTAGGATTTGGTCTCTCATAAACTTCGAACTATTTTAACTTTTTCAGGAAAGGTTGTTGGAATTATCTTATATAGTAGGGAGTCATCTGCAAATGGGGCCCCTATGCTAAATGTTAACCTTCCAGCTGGTGAACCTCGGTTGTTGGCAGAAGCTAGTCCAATAGATGTGAAGATTGCAGAGGTGATATTGGTTAGAAGGAGCTTGGCTTGGATAACTGGCATCATTTTCCTGGTTTCTACGCTAATGGGGGTGAGGGCCATGCGCTGTTATTTTTCGGCTAATTGTTGTTGCTTACAGCTATACTGTTTCCTTGCTTATTAGTTGGTTTGCATTATATTATTAGTAACCGAGGCTGATGGGTCCCTCCACGGTGTTGGCTTGTGGGACATAGACATGACACACATCTAGACCTCTACAATCTAGATCATCAACAAATCCCCATTCGTATAAGTGACACACTGATGAACATTATGGAGGCACGCCAGCCTCTATTTACTCTTATATAGTTATTATGATTTTAATTTAGTAGCTTTTGTCGTTTCGCATGTAAAAGCAACAAAAAGAGATATTTGTCGTTGAGTTCCCAAAACTATGATTTTACTCGGCTTCTTAACACAGGACTGATATGATATTAGTATGACTTTGGCTTTCCTAAAAATTGATTACAACTATTATACTTTACCAAATGGGACAAATTTGACTTGGGCTTGAAATGCGAATGTTCCAGTTTGCATTTCCTTATGTCAGCGAAGGGAAGTTTACTTGCTAGTGATTGAAGTCAGAACCTTGTTCAATCATGCGCTACTAATTCACATTGTGGTTCTCCATTTTATTATTTGTTTCTTGTTGTTTTTTTAATCTGAAGATGTATTCGTCGACTTTCTCCTTGCAGATATACTACTTACTTTACATGCCTCTAACAAGGGACACCCTCCTTTATTCCAACGTAAAACTCGACTGATTAGCTGAAGAACGCATTATCGTCAAGAATCTGCCTCGGCATCCGCTTTCTCAGAATTAGATAAGAGCGCTGCTCTCTTGTTGCATTCTTATTTTCTTATTTGCTACCGGATTATTCCAGTCTGTATTCAGTACAAATTATTTTGTGTAGTTAGTTCTTGTAGAGTAAAAATAAGCCAAGAATGTTCCTGTACTTTGATTTGTTTTGTAAACATTCTGTGGGACAGAATGTAAGAGGCTATGATATGTATTATAATTTCCCCCACTTCGCTTAATAGAAATAATTAGATTATCACTGGATCTGTGTCAATATTTTTGTGGACTATTTTGGTTCAGATTGGTAGCGGCCACGGTGGCTATAATTATAACTATGGTTCATTAAATGATAAATATATTTTCTAACCTCGTGATTCAGTCATTGTATATCTGACCTAAAACTTAAAACATAAATATTTTGATTGGTTAAAATATCTGGGTGGATGACATAGTTGAAATGATTTATGGAACTTAAAGAGTTGAAAAGAATGTCTCAATTATTCAGATCAAACTATCATATTTCCCTAATAAAAATGTTAACAATCACTGTATGTAATACCTACAACACGGCAAGATCCATGAAATCTTCATATTGTACTTAGAAAATCAAATCAATCATCAATTTTTTTATAGCGTAGAATATCGCCCATCATCTAAGCAAAAATACAATGACAAATTTACGATGCCATGCGATTCCAAGTAATACGTCACCCGAACACATTTTGAGGTAGTAAACAATCCTTTGGGTGTAAACATAAAACATGATCTTGTACGCACAGAAGAAATCCTTAATATCAAGCAATAGCACATTCCTGTTGTTACAAATGACGTTTACGATGTAGCATCTTCTTGCATATTTTCCCAACGTTAAGCAGACGACTTCAGGTCGGTCTCCAACCCTCCGCTTAGAAATTGCTCGTACCATTTAGCCGATAATTTTGGAGTTCTTACCTGTGTTTTGGAATCTACATGATAGAGCCCAAATCCTACAGAGTAACCAAGCGTCCATTCAAAGTTATCCATGAGAGACCATATGAAATATCCTCTAACATCTGCCCCTTGCCTGCAGGAGAACCCAAAATACAATACTTAACATAATTTTCGGCGTGCAAATATCATAGATGACATGAGTGTGAAGATGACATGAGTGTGAAGTCAATATACAGCTATAACACTTACCTTACGGCAGTAGCCACAGAAGAGAGGTAGCTCTTGAGAAACTCTACTCTGTTCGTGTCATTGAGTAAGTCATTTAAGGACACTCCGTCGCTCCTTTGACTGTATCCTAAAGAATGTACAGACATAGAGAATTCATATATAAATATACACATGGAAAAAGCACATGATATGTCCTACACTTTTCTCAAAGTTAAAAAAGAAAAAAAGATTTTCAGCGCACACCATTTTCAGTAATGTACATAGGTGTGTTGTTGTATCTCTGCATGAAGTACATGATCACCTTCTCCATGCCATGTGGAACCACAAACATAGTTGGCATCCCGGTCTACAACATAAAATCATATTTACAAATGGTAGCCAATAAACAATCTAAGATTGCGTCTAAACTTTCGATAATCTCTGTCTAATATTTCTCATGGAGCTTACCGAAGCTCCAATAGGCACCCCATTTCTTTGTGAGGTGGCGAAAACTAGTGCATTTCCTGAAAATTTATCAAGCTCGCATGGAGAAAACATGCAATCCTTCACATAAAGACTTGTGTAGTGATTGACTCCTATGAAATCCATCCCGTTTCGTAATTTGATCTTCTCTTCATCTGTGAATGTGGGTAGCCTTGATCCAAGGACTCGACGCATTTCAATAGGATAATCACCATGTAGTAAAGGATCCAGGAACCTTATAAAGCCAAAAAGTATATAACTTCAATATTTCATTTAATAAATATGGCACATATATATGAGTGAAATCTTTCTATTAACTTCTTCAAACAAACTTCATATTACCAAGCCATTTCAAAAGAGAGTGCCCGCTGAGCTGCCGAAATGTCTACTGTGATATTTCTGAGAGGTTCATACCACCGGGTCATAATCACAATTCCAACAGAGCCTCCTTGTTTCTCCTTAATAATTGATTTCACATTAATAACCACTTCGTGTCAATGAAAAGCATGCAATATTTGAATTTTTTTTTACCTGATAGATGTTTTTGTAGATGCCAACGGCCCTTGCGTGGGATAATATGATGTTATGTGCAGCGATATACGGTTCGGTTGAAGAATCCCCGAAAGAACAATTTCCAAATGGTTCTGAACAACGACCAGGAGGGTGATTGCCGTTGAGATAACCAAATTTCAGCATAAGGTTTGGCTCATTAAATGTGCTCCAAAACTTTACTCTATCACCAAATTCCTCGAAACATACTTCCGCGAAATATGCAAAATCTTTCCTGAAAAAAGGAAACCGATGTTAGGAGTCCCCACACATGAAGAGATGCATTTATGTCTCCAAATTTCACCGCAAGATTTATCATATAATAAGATGATTAAACTAATGCAATTGCGATGTAACAAAATTTATATAGAGAGAGTGACAAGTCGCAACAAAATGAAAAAGGAATTTACTGTATCTTTGGACTAAGCCATGCACCATATCGCGTTTCAAGCTCTTGTGGTATATCAAAATGATTCAATGTCACAAATGGTTGTATTCCTGCTCCAGAGTCATGAAAGAGAAGGCAATAACAGAAGCAGCCGAGAGTTTATTATTCATAATACAAAATTTTTGTCTTTAACTTATTCATTTAAAATTACAAGGAAGCTAAAGAAATTACTTCTGAGCAAGAGGGAATCAATAAGGTTATTGTAGAATGCTACGCCCACTTGATTAACTTCTCCAAACCGACCTCCTATTGACAAGCAAATCTTCCATTAATATGTCAGGTTTTATATAGTAGCAAATATTGGAGCTAATCAGATAGTAAACTCACTTGGAAGAATTCTAGACCATGATATCGAAAATCTATACGAGTTAACACCCAGAGAATGCATCAAGTTGACATCTTCCTGTTCAAGAACAAGCTCTAAATCATCAACTCACTGATCTAATCCTGAAAATAAAAGTTTTACCCCCAAAATTTCTGAAATAGTCTTCACACATTGAAACATAATGAAGATGCACCTCATAGAGATGATAATGATTATCGGCAATGTCTCCATTGCTACCATCCTTTACTTTTCCTGTCGAAGAGAGAATGAAATTATGATTTATTTGCAAATTAACTAAGCGCCCTGTGTGGTTTATGAGAGAATGAAGATTGATCAACGCACTTAAATATGACGTGTGTGTGTGTATGTATATATACATACATACATGTACACACACACATACATGCACACACACACTGTTGATAATAGTGTATTGTAGTGGGTTTTAGTCCCACATTGCTTGGGAGAACAAACCTCACACTCCTCTACTTGTATAAATATATGTGCACACTCAATATTCAATTCAAGGGAAATTTACCCAAGATTCTCTCTCTCTCTCTCTCTTACTTTAACATGGTATCAGAGCTAGGGCTATTTCCCTTTCAATAAAATTTTTAACGCTTTTGCGTTCTTTTGCCAAATCTTGGCCTTATTGCTTTGCAGCCGTTTAATGTTTTATTTTTTTTTATTTTTATTTTTAATTATTTGGCGTTCATCTGCCAGATATTTTGGCCTTGTCGTTTTGCGGCCTCTTAACGCGTTTCGCGTTCTCGTTTAACCTTCGGGTTCTATTTTAAACCTTCGGGTTTCATTCTAACCTTCGGGTTCTATTTTAAACCTTCGGGTTTCATTCTAACCTTCGGGTTCTATTTTAACGGCATTGTCGTTTCAAGACCGTCTCTCGGTCTCAAATTAACGGCATCGTCGTTTCAAGCCGTCTCTCGGCCTCAAACGAACGACATTAGTAACAGCATCTCGACATCTTAACGTCTCAAGATTGCTGTTATGGCTCCTTCAGAGAAGATTCCCAAACCACCTTTGCCCCTCAATGATCAAAGTGACTGGGCAGGGTGGTCCACCATTGTCACCAATGCCTTGCGTGGCGCTGGTTTGCTTGATCATCTCACCAGTACGGGACCAGTTCCACCGTCCATCAGCACTGTTGCTTCATCCAGTACTATTGCCTCTGGCAGTGGTGATGTCGATCTTCAGACTGCTCGTGCTCTCTATGTCAAGGAGAGTTCAGAGTGGCAATTGCAGGAATTTCGTGTTATGGATTATCTCACTCGCTGTGTTGGCTCTGGTCTCACTGTCGAGATTGGCTCGCTTCCCTCTGCTCAGGCCATGTGGACTCGTCTCACTGAGCGTTTCACTGAGTGCTCGGGTGCACGGGAGGCATATCTTCTGCAACGCATTTCTCTACAACGCAAAGGTAGTTCATCTCTGCAGTCCCATTTTGGACAAATGCAAGCTTTTTGGACAGAGTTACGCTCCATGCTTCCTGGACGTAATTCCACATATGAAGACTGGCTAGCCTGGTACGAACGGCATGAGGTGCATCAATTGTTTCAGTCCCTTCCTGAATATTCAACTATGGCTGATCAACTACTTCACCAGCCTCAATTTCCGACTTTGGCCTCAGTTATGGGAGCTCTCACTGCTTATGAGACCCGGCAGCAGACAGCACGACTCAATTTGTCAACAGACACTCCTACCTCTTCACTCGAGACTGTTTTGTCTGTACCTGTCACTGCTCCTGTTATGAATTATACTTCTCCACAGGCTCCCTCTCCACAGGCTCGATCTAAGCTCTCTTGCAAATATTGTAAGAAGGAAGGACACCGCATTGAGACATGCTTCAAGCTTCATCCTGAGTTACGTTCCTCAGGTACTGGACGTGGTCGGCGACCCCCTCAGTCTCAACCCTCTCGTACACCAGGATTGTTGGCCAATGCTATACCTTCTACTACTTCAGACTCTACTATTCAAGCTATTGAAAGTCTTCGCCGTCAACTTGATGCTTTTCAACATATCACCTCTACATCCGCCGCACAACTCTCTGGTATGCATTTTGCTGGTTCTTCAGCTAATCCTTCAGTCTCTGGTATGAATGATCTCTGGATTTTTGACTCTGGTTGTTCCTTTCATATGACTTGTAATGCCTCACTTTTATCCTCTGTCTTTACTTCATCCTCTCTTCCTCCTATCTACACAGCTGCTGGACAACCATTGTCCATTACTCAGTATGGCTCTATTACCCCACAAAATGATCCATCTGGTCGTCTAACACTTGGTCCCGTCTATGTGGCTCCACAATTGTGCTTGAATTTAATTTCTATTAGCTCTTTATGCATGGCGGGCCTGTTTGTCTCATTTTCTTCTGATACTTGTATTGTGCAGGATCCACAGACGGGCAAGACGGTTGGGGCGGGTCGTAGGAGGCACAAACTGTATTTTCTGGAATATCTTCACCTTCCAGAGTCCATACGTCCACGTTCTCTTGTTGCTTCTCTTTGTTCGTCAAAACCCTCTACCTCGCTTCCTGCCAATTTATGGCATAGACGACTTGGTCATGTGTGTAATAAAAGGCTGGAGAGTCTTATTCAGTCTGGAGTACTTGGTCCTGTATCATCTAGTTCTAGTATTGAGTCATGTGCTGGTTGCAAATTGGCTAAATTCACTGCTTTACCATTTAAAATGAGTACATCTGTATCCACTTCCTTATTTGATTTAGTACATTCTGATATTTGGGGGCCAGCTCCTTTGCCTTCTTCATCTGGCTACTTATATTATGTTAGTTTTATCGACGATTTCTCTCGTTTTACATGGGTTTACCTACTTAAGAATCGCTCTGACGTACTTACTGCTTATCAAGCCTTCACTGCTATGATTTTCACTCAATGGCAATCTCGTATTAAAGTTTTTCGTTCTGATTGTGCCAAAGAGTACCTATCCTCTGCCATGCGCTCTATCATGTCCTCTCATGGGACTATCTTTCAACAGTCATGTCCCTACACTCATGAGCAAAATGGTGTTGCTGAACGCAAACATCGTCATATCCTCGATACTGCCCGATCAATGCTCATTTCTTACTCTGTTCCTCGTCGTTTCTGGGCTGAGGCTATTCTCACCGCGACTCATGCCATTAATATCACTCCATCTAGCTCTCTTTCCGGTGCTACTCCTTATAGTCGTGTTTATACTCATCCTCCCCGTTATGATCTAGTTCGCGTTTTTGGTTGTCGATGTTTTGTTTTTCTGCCATCTCACGAACGTGATAAATTGTCTCCCAGAGCAGTTTCTTGTGTTTATTTAGGAATTAGTTCAGAACATCGAGGTTATCGTTGTTATGATCCCGCAACTCGTCGAGTTCATATATCTCGTCATGTTCAGTTCGAAGAGGATTCTCCATATTATTCTACTTCTGATGACTTTAATTTCCTCCACTCTACCGATCATGCTTCCCCGTCCACTGCATCACCCACTTCTTCACCTCAATTTTCCTTTCGAGATCTCCCTGACATCTCTCCCTCTCCTTCTGTTGACTCTTCCTCACCTGAGTCTTCTCTTACACCATCTAATCCATATCCTGTGGACACAACTCTCACTCCAGAAAATACTGTTGATCTTCATGCACCTGCGCCAGCATCTCCCCCGCCTGAGGTTCCTCTTGCTCTTCGTCGAGGCAAACGCCCACATGTCATGCCTGCCCGGTATGCTTCTGTTACTTCTTATTCACCTATCTTTCATAACTTTCTTGCTGCCATTCATACTATTGTTGAGCCAAAGTCCTTCCAAGAGGCAGTTCAAATTCCAGAGTGGCGACAAGCTATGGCTGAGGAATTTCAAGCATTTCAGCAAACTCATACCTGGGATATTGTTCCCTGTCCTCCTGGGATCTCTCTTGTTGGCAGTAAATGGGTTTATAAGGTCAAGTTTCGTCCTGATGGCACCATTGAACGTCGAAAAGCTCGTTTAGTGGCTAGAGGTTTTACTCAGCAACAAGGTATTGATTATGAGGAGACCTTTGCTCCTGTTGCTCAGATGCCCACTGTGCGTACTCTCCTTGCGGTCGCTGCTGCTCATCGTTGGCCCTTATACCAGATGGATGTCAAAAATGCTTTTCTTCATGGCTCTTTATCAGAGACCGTATATATGCAACCGCCTCCAGGGTCAAATATTCCTCCGGGACATGTATGTCTCCTTCGTCGTGCTGTTTATGGTCTCAAACAGGCACCCCGCGCTTGGTTTGAGTGTTTTCGCGATGTTGTGCTCAAAGCGGGCTTTATAGAAAGTCATCAAGATGCTTCTCTGTTTGTTCGCACTACATCGCGTGGCAGGGTTTTATTACTCATCTATGTAGATGATATGATCATTACAGGTGATGATATGACAGGTATACAATACGCAAAATCTCAGTTGCAACAACAGTTCCACATGAAGGATCTTGGATCTCTTCGGTATTTCCTTGGTCTAGAAATTTCTCAAGGCCCGCGGGGTGTATTACTGTCTCAACAGAAGTATCTCTCAGATATTCTAAATCAAGCTGAGTTAACTGATAATACAACTGTCGATACTCCACTCCAGCAGAATGTCAAACTTTGCTCTACTGACGGTGAGCCTCTATCTGATCCTACCCGATATCGACATCTTGTTGGTCAGTTGGTCTATTTGTGCATCTCTCGACCAGATATCTCTCATGCTGTTGGTATTGTCAGTCAATTTGTTAGTGCCCCACGTTCTGTACACTATGCTGTCTTATTACGGATTCTTCGGTACCTCCGGGGTACTAGCACTCGCTCACTTTTGTTTCCTGCTACATCTAAGTTAGAGCTTTGTGCATATTCTGATGCTGATTGGGCTGGTGATCCAACTACCAGAAAGTCTACCACAGGTTATTGTATATTTCTTGGTGATTCCCTTATTTCCTGGCGAAGTAAGAAACAAGATGTTATTGCTCTTTCCAGTACTGAGGCAGAGTATCGTGCAATGTCCACAACAGCTAAAGAGATTATTCATCTTCGTCGCCTTCTCAGTGATTTCGGTATTTCTGTTACGACTCCTACTCCTCTCTACTGTGATAATAAGAGTGCCATCCAGATTGCTAATAATCCAGTATTTCATGAAAGGACCAAACATATTGAGATCGACGCTCATTTTGTCCGTCACCAAGTTATCAAGGACAAGACAATTCTACTTCCTCATGTTTCATCCGCTGACGAGCTTGCAGATTTCTTCACAAAGGCCTTACCTGTTCATCGGTTCCAGTTTCTTGTACGCAAACTCACTTTGTTTGATCCAACATGAGTTTGAAGGGGGCTGTTGATAATAGTGTATTGTAGTGGGTTTTAGTCCCACATTGCTTGGGAGAACAAACCTCACACTCCTCTACTTGTATAAATATATGTGCACACTCAATATTCAATTCAAGGGAAATTTACCCAAGATTCTCTCTCTCTCTCTCTTACTTTAACACACACATACATATATCTTTGGTAAAAAAGCATGAATCCTGAATGCGAATATGCCAAGCTTCAGTGCGGTCCTGTTTACTTCCCCATTTTTCAGCAGATCTCTCAATTTTTATTTAAATAAGGCGTGTGTGTGTATATATAGGTATGTACATATAAGTTAAAAATTACCAGGCAAGTGAGTGAATATATCCCAATTGCTTGGGCCCCTGTTGCCTTCAGAAACTGCTCCCTCAATCTGCAAGTATATATCACAATGTCAAAGCTTCAGGCAAGAGCTTGTTTCAAAACAATGATGATAGTAAAACGTGGGAATTAGAGAAGGCAGTGACCTGGTAAGATGAGGTTGAGGTCCCAAAGAGAAAAGAGGGAGGGAATTGGGCTCTCTCTATTCCTTCAACAATTACTAACAATGCAATAAATGTCAATGACAGTGCTCCCTTCTTATTATTGTTCATCCTCCCTCTCTCTCTCTCTCTCTCTCTCTCTCTCTCTCTCTCTCTCTCTCTCTCTCTCCGCTGCAGATTCCAACCGTCCCCCTCCCTCTCTCTCTCTCTCTCTCTCTCTCTCTCTCTCTCTCTCTCTCTCTCTCTCTCAAATGAAGGACAAGTTAATGGGGGGAACAATGGCAGGAGCTAACCATTCACGATAATGGATAAAATGATCAGGGGACAATCATTTATAGCAAACAAAGAAGCATATTATTTCTTTACGCCAACACTTTTTTTTTTAATTTTCCTTCCATTTGATAGGGTGAAACGAGATGCACATGGGTAATGAATAATGATGGGCAGAGTTGATTTATTATTATTATTATAACTCCTTCGTCCTCAAAGAAAGAGATTTATTTTATTTTAATTTTTATATTTTTGGGACAAGTTGACCCCCTCATGATAAAAAGAGTTAAAAAAAAAATTCACAAAGAGATCGAGAGAGTCTACCCCTGACAACAAAACTAGAGGGGTGGTAAGTTCAAGACAACAATACAGCGAGATCTATCTTGGATTAACTCTTTTTTATCTATTCGAGTAACAAGTCACAATTACCTTTTCAAAAACACAAAATTTTACACAAGCTGAGAAAGTATAAGGGATAAATTTGAAACATTTACAATTAGGATATTGCAACAATACCATTTACTTCTGAGTACTCACATCCATCATCAATAAGCAAATACCCACTACAAGCAACGATTATTTATAGCCATAAGCAACTACTGTTGTAGTCTCATTTCAAAAATATGAAAGTCAGATAAAATTATAGAAGTATTGTAGACACTTAATTTTCATGAGAGAAAACAAGTGGCACACGCTACCCATAAAATAAATGGAAGGAGGGAATTTAGCCCTCTCTATACCTTCAACAAATTCTAACACTAATGCAATACGTGCCACGCCGTGAGCCTCCGAGCCCATTGGCGCGAGTACAACACATGGTTTGGCTCAATCCACTGCCAAAATTGATTAGTCCACACTGCACTTGACTACTTGGATTACTTTATAAATCATTCAATCACTAAATCAATATCCGATGTGAACTAGATCTTGGGGTATCACTAGAGTTTTATTTTATTCTATGGGCATGACAATAAATGCTAAAGCTAATGCTCCATTCTTATTGTTCATCTCTCTCTATAAGTCATGAACAGAAGAAATACAATTCCCTTCAACCATTTATAGAAAATAAGCAATCATTCCTTTTGGATTAAAAGCTTGATAAAATAATTATCCAAGTACTGCAAATACTTAGTTTTTCAATGATGAAATGAGGTGCACATGGCACCCATAAAATAAACTTCTTCTGAAAGTCACAGTTGCCTGTCAAAAAGTATTAGGAAAATTGTGTAAGAGTTGGCATAGTGGTTGCAACTTCCAGGTAGACGATAAATTTGAAACAAATATAGGCTATCAGCAGCTACCTAGTGAATGTGCTCCAGGTGCTTGAACCTCTGGTACCTTCAGAAAACATGAATGATAATGTAAATATAAGTCTATGAAAGAAGGTTTATTTCTAATTGCACTAATTGATCACTATGTTTATAGCGATTTCTAATTGCACTAATCGATCACTATGTTTATAGCTTAAGCAACAATATGCATTAGTTAATTGAGATATGATGCACATGTATTCCTTAAAAAATTATAGTAAGGGAACGGATGACCGTATGATGGGTTTAGACTTCTCTTACTAAAAGATGGATATACCATTTCATAAATTTTAACATGGGGTTGTTTGGTGAGGGTTCTTTTCTATTTTCGGCCATATAGACAGAAACTCTATCCTATAGATATCAATTTCGCTGTTATCATTGTCATGGTCATTAGAATTTCATACCTGATTAGTTTTGAAGTTTTCAGGGAGCTAGTGGATCATAAAACTTTTTTTTTTTTTACCTTTGAGGGATACATATGTGGAAATTGGAACCACATTCTTAGAAAATTATGAGATATGATTGTTTGCGTCAAAAGTTGGTTTTGTCATGGAATTCATTATATCTTCAGTCGATTACAATAAATTCAAAAAAAAGAGATAGCTTTTTTATAAGACTTCTTTTACACAACAAAATGAAAATTACAACTCTTGGGAAACAAACGCAGGATCGTTGTTTGGATCACTGCTTGCGTGGGATCTTTGCCTGTGCCGGGGGTGCGTTAGCCCGTGGACCACCAAATCACAGATTCTGATCGAATCGTGAGGGGTTTATGATTCTGACTTCGTTTATCGAAGTGAGAACTTGAAACGATATCTTATCAATGTAAGATAGTCGTTCTTCTTGAAATCAAGTCAAAGCCTGAATATCAAGGAGTTGCCAGAAACTCAAGAACTCTACTCTCTCTCTGCTCTGAAGTGCTCAAAATGATCAGCCCCCCTCCAAAATGGCCTTCGGGGGATATTTATAACCTCCAATAACAGTTGGCGAAAAACAGACTCGCGAGACAGCATTTGCTGTCTCGGCTGTCGAGACAGTATTTGCTGTCTCGACGGGCGAGGAGACATGGGTTTGTGTTGCTGTCATCGGCGCTCGCGAGCCAGTAAACGCTGTCTCGGAAACGTGAACGCGCCAGGCAATTTTCGTTTTCAACTGTTCCAGTTCTTAAACTCCGTATTTTGGGGCAGTTTAAACGCCGCTGATTACTCGCCCCACGACGTTCCATCGTTTTTCAGCAGTTAATGGCGGTGTGTGCAGTTGGTTCACACGGTGGTTGTCTGCACTACTGAGAGTCTGTCTCACGTGCGAGACGAGTCCTGTCTACGAGGCGAGTCAGTAAAGACTGTCTCGCACAGCGAGACAGTGAACACCTGTCTCGCGTGGGCGAGACAGTAAAAGTCTGTCTTGCCCGCGAGACAGTAAAGTCTGTCTCGCGTGCGAGATAGTCTATACTTGTGTTTTTTTTGACATTTTGGATGATCTCCTTCTGAGCTGTATTTGTATATCTTTCAGTATTTTTTAACGCCTACAGATACCCCCTCCAAAGTTTTCCAGACTCATTCTTTGATAGAGGAGTCTGGGATACTTTGGATAAGATAGATTTTTCTTACGACCTCTTCAATACTTGGTTGAGCAGATCATGTACAAGAATCCATAAAATGGCTTTGGCTCTTGATCTCTTCATCCATTAGTCTATTCAGTTCTTTGTAGAATAGCTAATATTTCTCCGGCACTGCGTTTATCGCTTGACCGTTGTTGAGATCTTGATTCGGAGCTAGCTTTTGTTCTTGTGGGCTCAGCTTTTGTCACCGAATTGAGACATCCATTGAAAGTTCGTTAGGTTATCCTTAAGAATATTCAGATTAATATTCTCTAGAAACTTCCTGTTGAGAGTAGGAATACAGTTTAGACTCGTGTACCCATTGGAGTATTCAGGTTATTCTTAAGAATATTCTGAGTGATATTCTCTAGAAACTTCCTGTTGAAGGTAGGGAAGCAGTTTAGACTCGTGTACCTATTGGAGTAGTATGGTCTCTTTTTTGTTGGTAGAGATGAACCCGTTTATGGAGAGGAAGAATTTTATATTCTATCTCCTGGTCTCTTGTTTGTTGGTAGAGATGAACCCGATGATGGAGAGGAAGAATTTTATATTCTATCTCCTGATCTCTTATTTGTTGGTAGAGATGAACCCAATGGTGGAGAGGAAGAATTTTATATTCTATCCCCTGATCTCTTGTTTGTTGGTAGAGATGAACCCGATGATGGAGAGGAAGAATTTTATATTCTATCTCCTGGTGCAAAAGAGACTCAAAGTGGGATCTCCACTTAGAGAATCTGGACGGGTTTGAATAATCCTAACTGTCATAAGGTTTGATTATTCAACTGAAATTGGACCTCTCGTTCATGGAAGGAATCGAAAGGGGATTTTGGTTTTGGTCCTAACTGTAGTAAGGTTTGACCAAGTGGGAGTTCTGAGACGATCCTAACTGTTTAAAGGTTTGATCGTTCAATTTGTGGACCTCTCGTTCATGGAACGAATCGAGAGGGGATTTTGGCTTTGGTCCTAACTGTTTAAAGGTTTGACCAAGATGGGAATTTGAGACGATCCTAACTGTTTAAAGGTTTGATCGTTCAATTTGTGGACCTCTCGTTCATGGAACGAATCGAGAGGGGATTTTGGCTTTGGTCCTAACTGTTTAAAGGTTTGACCAAGATGGGAATTTGAGACGATCCTAACTGTTTAAAGGTTTGATCGTTCAATTTGTGGACCTCTCGTTCATGGAACGAATCGAGAGGGGATTTTGGCTTTGGTCCTAACTGTTTAAAGGTTTGACCAAGATGGGAATTTGAGACGATCCTAACTGTTTAAAGGTTTGATCGTTCAATTTGTGGACCTCTCGTTCATGGAACGAATCGAGAGGGGATTTTGGCTTTGGTCCTAACTGTTTAAAGGTTTGACCAAGATGGGAATTTGAGACGATCCTAACTGTTTAAAGGTTTGATCGTTCAATTTGTGGACCTCTCGTTCATGGAACGAATCGAGAGGGGATTTTGGCTTTGGTCCTAACTGTTTAAAGGTTTGACCAAGATGGGAATTTGAGACGATCCTAACTGTTTAAAGGTTTGATCGTTCAATTTGTGGACCTCTCGTTCATGGAACGAATCGAGAGGGGATTTTGGCTTTGGTCCTAACTGTTTAAAGGTTTGACCAAGATGGGAATTTGAGACGATCCTAACTGTTTAAAGGTTTGATCGTTCAATTTGTGGACCTCTCGTTCATGGAACGAATCGAGAGGGGATTTTGGCTTTGGTCCTAACTGTTTAAAGGTTTGACCAAGATGGGAATTTGAGACGATCCTAACTGTTTAAAGGTTTGATCGTTCAATCTCTCAACTTTCTTTCTTTTAAGAAAGTGTTCAGCTTGTTCGCCACGTAATTTCAACTCTTTCCAAGTTTTGGATGATACGACCCCCAGGGCTTCCAGGACATCGATGGAGAGATTATTGTGGCATGTTTGCAGGATAAACTTCTCTGTAACAGGATCTCTGCAATTCATTGCCTTG